TAAGATTCAACCCTGTTCTGTGTGAGTGGTCGGTTGTAGGCAAAAAAGGAACAAACGCTTCAATAGTTGATTATTCGATATAGCATATGTTGTACTTAGTCCGTTGAAAACTCCACAAGTCACAGCGAGAGCCAGATGTTCCTCCTCATGAGATAGATAGAGCCTTGAATGGATGTTGGTCTCAACTCAAGTTGATAACTAATCAAAGGCATGCCTCTCTGCTGTGGCTGGTTTCGCTTGTAGCCACTCCCTCAGCTGTGTGGTTAGCTGAACGTGGTATGACTCCGAATCTTACCTGCTCTCATTGCAGCTGGGCGTTCGAATCAACCATCCACTTGTGGTGGGATTGCCCGGCATCAGCCTGAATTTGGAAATGGTGGCAAAAACATTGGGATCGCATCTTCGACCGTGCGTTCGCTTGAACAAAGGAATGAACTCTTCTGGGTGGCGTTCCATTGGGGACACAGAAGGCCAAAGGGTGGGTCTATGTAGCCCAAACGGCCCGAGCCGCATGCTTCAATGTGATCTAGCAAGAAAGAAACGGAAAAACATTTCATGGCTCAGATTTCACCAATCGGCAGATCATAAGAACTATCAAATCTCAGATACGCCAGACCATGAAAGCGGACTGGAGACGGAAAGTGTCAATGCCGCAAAACCCTCGCTCATGCATCAAATGGTTCAAACAAACTTGGGCATTGAACAACCATCTCTGCAAGGTATCAGACGACATGCAATTGCGCATTGACGCCTGGTGGTTCCAGGATTAATCCTCGGTTTTTGTTAGTGAGAATTGGGGTGGGTGGACACCGGTTTTTACTGTTAGTACAAAATGGGTCAGAATGATGTGCTCGTATATAGCCTCATTTTAGGTAGTGTTCTTGTTGCTTTAATTTGTAGTAGACGATTCTTTGTTTGGTTGTAATTGGTTTAAATTCGTAGTAAGAATTTGGTGCTCGGTTGTCGGTGTTGGCCGGAGGAGGCAGGCAGTTGGTTGGTGGTGGTTTTGGGTTGGCTTTAGGGAAGGAGTTGTGACGAACTATCTTCTGTAACCGCGCGACTTCCTGCACAAAGCTGCTGTGGGGAAACGGGAGGGCTTTGATGGACGACGGGCGTAAGCGGGGATCTGTTGGGCAAGTTGCATGGATGCCCTCGCTTCTTTTTTCGTTTTTGTCAAAATTTGTTGGGTCTGCGCCGGGAAAGTCCCACGCCGACGATTGAGTGACCGCGCTTTAGTGAGCGTAAGAAATAACGGTTGCCATAACTTTTTTCTTGTTCTGTTGTGAGCACTAGGAATTTTGGCGCGATTAGCGTGCGATAATTTTCGTTTTTGAAATTCGAACTGATGTCGAGCGCCCCCCCTAGGCTCTCGAAATTGTTTTTCTTTCGAAATTTCCTTTTGCAATTAGGATTTAAACAAGGAATTTAGGCACCTTCCAATTTGGCTGCACGACGCTTCTTGCTCGCACGCGCCGTGCCTCGACAGGGTCTGGGCTCTGATTTCCATCCGCGCCTTAATCTTGTGTGTAACTGTAATTTTTGGCGGGCGCAATCTCAACTGTAATCTTCTTGTTCTTGATGGCCTTTGCGTTTCCTTCTTTCCCACCTTGTGTTCGCATGCACACTCTCTTCCTTTGTTCTAAGTGGATCCCACGTTTGCATGCCTGGATCGATGCGCGGAGAGTGGCTCCGTCCCCCGCGCCGAGGCCTGGATATGCAGACGTAGGCACTTCCTCTCTTCCTCTGTTTAGGCATAATCCCGAATTCATCGCGCACACAAGCATGCTATAAATTTCGCAAGCGCGATTAGTTGCACTCTCTGAACTTGAAAGGTTAGCGTGGTCAGTGAGGATCGGCTAACAAGTAAGTTGGCAGGTGAGTAGATTGGGTCGGGCGATCCGACGGGCTGGCGCCAAGTAAGCGGGGTTGACGTGCGGGCCATGACGGACTGTGGCGCACTGGCGAACCTGACGGGCCTGCTTGGGCTAAGCGGGGTGACGACTCGGTATTGGTGCGCGGCGATGCACTGTTCACATCGGAGGTGACGTGGGGAGAGAAAGAGAGAGGGAGAGGAGACGGATCAGGATGGTGTCTTTTTCTTTTGTTTCTTCTTAATCCAACCTTCCTGTATAAATTTTGGATTTTCACCTTGGCCAATTTTATGCGGCAACTACGGCTTTTCCTTATGACATCTTGAATTTTGGTGTGCGTCATCATTTATTCTCGGCTCTATTAGATCTTGCATGTTTGACAGTCCGATGGATGTTTGTACTTCCTCACTCTTTGTTTACGACGTGAATGCCATTCTCAATTTCTTGCAGGATCGGGGGGGGGCGGCTCTGTTTGAATGTATGTTGTCCGTCCTTTCGATCTAAGATGCGCACGCTTGTCGATTCCTTACCCTCGCTAGACATGAATGAGTCTGATGGGAATGTTGTTGTCTCAATGAATGCGCGAGCGAGAACTTGGGATTGCGAGTCGTTCCTGTGGATCCTTATGATACGCGTGTAATGGTAGAGTGGATATGTGTACACGGAAGTCGTGATTGTACAGACCCGTGATTGGTTGTTCGCGATTGACTGTTCGGGAGGGACTGAGGGGTCGCGCACGTATAAGACATGTGTCGTCGGAAAGGGGAGGGCAACGATGATGGGTACTAGAAAGTGACGAAATTTGAATTAAGCTAACCCGGATCGTATAGTCTGATCGACCATCACTTGCGCCCACTCCTGCTAATCCGGAGCCAGCCCCTCACATAGCCATAAGCAGATCCTGTACACGCACATGTAAGCCCGACCGAAAGGGACGGTGCATACACGCATGTCTGCAGGATCTGCGCACGGGCCATGACGGCGTTTACGTCGGGTTTTTAGAATGTTTTGCATCACGGACCGAGGAAGTTTGCAGGACCCCGAATATTGGAAATATTGAGAATGGAAGAACGAGTACTTCCTCACTCAGCCCCGCCCCGATCCCCTGAGATTCCCTTACCAACGAGGAGACGAACGTGTGCCCTCGAACCCCTTGCTCTTAGTGCCAGCGAGACAGCAAGTACCGAGCCTAGGAATTCGTCCGTCGAACCCGAACGGAATCTGAACGACGTCCACGCAACCTCCGGCTGAGACCCTCGTTGTCTGATTCCGAAGTTTGCAGCGACCGACGACAGGAGCTGATCAGACAGCGCGATACCCATAGCATGCACCCTGTCCATCAGGTCCGCGACCGACCGCAAAGGTGAAACCAGAGGAGATTGTGATTCCCATCTTTCGGGCCTAAGCCATACGAAACATGCTTGAGATCGACGACAGGGGCAAAGCTGTGGGGGATTCTGTTTGAGAATGCAAGGGTGTCTAGACCTCTTAACGACGTGATTACGTCGGGACTCTTATCCCTAGGATACACTGCGCATCCCACCTACCTTATGCTGCACGACACTTGCAACTTTCATTTCTTTACACTAAGTCTGAGAGGCGGTTTATTTGCTCATGAAACCGGAAACGCTACGCACGGCCCGCACTTGCCCTCTTGCACTTTTTACCCGCGAAACTTGCCACAGGAGATCTCAGTTCTGTCCTGGGACTCCACCCCCACTTTCCTAAAATCCTTGGCACACCCCCCTTTTTCGCACTTCCGGGCCCCCATCCCACTCCGATCAGGAAGTCACACTGAGCGTGAGGTTGGGCGTCACAGAGTTGCCACTAGAACTAGGGTTCCCCCCCCGGGTTAGGGGTGGCAGCAACGGGTGGAATCAAGTTAGATAGAGGGTAGGTTAGGGACTTAGGGTAATGGCGTGGTACGTTTCAGGTGATGGTTCCTTTTATTTTGGTTTGTTCGGCTTTGTTGGTCTTGGGGACAATTTTCTTCTACTAGGGTTGGGAAATATCAGCACAGCGGTTCCAACTTGGCCATTCTGTGACTGGACTAAAATTCCCAATGCATGCATCTAAGCTGGGTAATGGTCCCAGTACTGTGTATTTGTTTTGTTTTCCAGGTTGTTTGTGGAGGGATTCCCAGCCTCCCCCATTTTTGAGAAAAAAAATGCCGGTTGGATCCAGCGGCCTAACTCCGTTGGGAAGGTTCGCAAGTGGCATTCAGGAGGTCGTGGGTTCAATCCCCACTGCGCTCATGTACTTTCCTGGGCATGCTTGGCACCCGCCACCTAGAGATAGAGCACTGGATCCCCGATCGGCATTGACCAGAGTCTGCTGATATTCGTACGGGAGGGGACCACCACCTGAGGGGAGGCACAGGAATTGGTCCTGTTGGCATGGTCCCTGATGCTACCGGCTGTCCCCTAGCCGGTATCGCCCACCTGCAGGTCGGGAGCAGCCCCGGGATGTTCTCTCGTGAACACGGCTCTGGCTGCTAGGGGTTCCCCGTATGCCTACAATTAGTAGTAGTGGTAGGTGGGTACTGTGAGGTGAAATTGTGAGAGAATGGGCCTCGCTGCACTACTCTCGAAATGCACAAAAGACAAAAATCATGGCCGTGTATCTCTCCATATTCTAGCGGAAGATTCGCTCTCGTTTTGCACATTTCGAGAGTAGTGCAGCGAGGCCCAATATAGCTCAAGGAATGGAACCACGCAAAAAGTTCCATTCCCCTAGTAGCTCAGTTCTTCCAATGTCCTTATTGTCTAGGACAAAAGTTCCCTCCAAAAGTTCTGGACCAATAGGAGGGTCCGGAGCTCCCTAGAATAAACAAAATCAAAAGACAAAATTTCCCTCCAATTTATCGCGAGAGTCAAAACTCGTCCCTGTCCGACGCGGTGCCACTCGTATACATCACGACCATGGCTGCCAAATGGGAGTGAAGGCATTAGCTGAGGCCGGGATGCACGCGCGCTCGCAGCTCGGCCATGACGGGCAGAGGCGGGCGAGGGCGTTAGTTAAGCAAGCGCCGATCGAACCAGGAGGCCAGGTTTTCGCCATCCATCGAAGCTAGTCGTGTAGGCTGCGCTGCCGCTTTGGAATCCCAGGGCAACACCATGGACGCGGAAAGCTCTGGAGAATGGGACTCTCAGCACTCCCTGTCTCAATCCATGTCTCAATCCATGTCTCAAGTATGTGCTCTCTCTCTCTCTCTCTCTCTCTCTCTCTCTCTCTCTCTCTCTCTCTCTCTCTCTCTCTCTC